CCCGTGAAGCGCGGCTTTGTGGTCCGGGGGCTGGAGCGCAGCGAGGCGCGCTGCCCAGCGCAGCTGAGTCGGCGTTCCCCCTTCCCCTGCCCAGACTGGAGCCTCCCTGGGCAGGAGTGCTCCCTCCGGCCACCCTCCCTGCCTGCCCTGCGGATCGGTGTGTGTGCACACCGCAGGGCCCCCGAACCGGACACATGGCCCTGCTGGGAGCAGAGGAGCCGGAGGGGCTCGTGGCAGGGGGTGCAGCTGGGGTTGGGCGAGAGCGTGGAAAGGAGCCCTGTCCCTCCCTCCCCGCCTGGGGGCTCAGCTCCGCGGGATGCTTTGGGAAGAGCCTGGCTGCGCTCCCTGGGCTGGGGAGGGCTTGAATAGGAAAAGTTTTGTTCCAATTCCCCTTGGAAGGAGAGAGCTTTCTTGAAAAAATGAAACCAAACCAAACAAAAGCGAAAACACTAAGAAAATGAGAAAGTCAGAGGGAAAAGCTTGTTTGGACACCCTGTAAGGGTGGGAGGAATGTCCACTGTGCTCAGGGATGCTGAGTAGCTGCTGCGTTTGTCCAGAGTTCTTACACAGGAGGACATGTATCCCTAAAAGGACTGTGTTAGTTCTGGTATTAATTTCATTAATTACAGCTTTAAAAGGGAGGACAGTAACTTCTCCTTGCTTTCATCTCTGTGGGAGCAAGGGCTAAGGAGCATGAGAGAAACCAGTGGGTGAGGGGAAAACACCAGGATAAGCTGAGGGTGGTTTGATGGAAATGCTCTTTCTACACTCTCAACTTGACATTTTAGAAATTAGCTTTTATGTACTAACTCCTGATGCCTCATAACATCAGTTATGATGATGTTTCAGGCACTGATCCTGTACCCAAACCCTCAGGTGTGTGGGACGGGGGAGCTCAGGCAGGCAAAGTGTTCAAGGAGAAGAGCCCTGTGAGCTGTGGTCTCTGCTGACTGTTAGGATGGCACTTTCAGAGGATCCCAGTCAGCACCTAATGGTTCAGGAGGAGTTTTGGCAGGTGCATTTGCCCCTTTCCCCCAGTCAGCTGGACCTGACAGCTGCCGAGAGGCTCCAGTGTCACCCCATTGCCAGCGGCAGCAGTTGTGGTGCCAGGCAGGACCTGGAGCTGCTGCTGGATCCCCTGCCAGACCAGGCAGCCTGTGCCCTCCTGGGGGCTCCTGCTCATCTCTGGGTGGAGCAGAGCACCTTCCTGCTGCACTCCAGTGGGCCCCACTCAGCTTCTCCTGGCGAGCGGCACATGGACCTTGGGTGGCTCTTGCGCTTGGCAAACCTTAATGGGAAGGTGGTGCTGCCCTTTGCTGAATATTCATGAGGAACTAATTCGTGCTTGTATTTCCAGATTGTGCTTCAGTCTGGGAGGATTTTAGTGTTGTTTTTGTCTTGGCTCACTCTGTTCAGCAGCCAAAGAGCTGCTGAAGCCTTGGCTTGGCAGTCAGAGGGATTTGTAGTTCATCCTTCTGCTGTTCAGTTATATGCTAATTAGCCCGAGTGGGGAGGACTGGCAAGCTCCCTTAGTGCCCAAGATGCACACTGTGGTCTGCTCCTCTTGCACATGGTGTCCATCTCGGACATCATTCCAACCCCTTCAATCCCTGGAAAGAGCTCAGTACTCCACGACCCCAGTGCAGGCACAGGTCCCTGCCTGCTGGGGGCACTGGCAGGGGAGGAGATGCTCCCTCAGGAGTTGCTGTCTGGCTCCTCAGCTCCTGCTGCAGAAACAGCTCCGGCCCCATGGGTGCCGCCACCACCACCTCTGTGTGCCACCTCGGTGGGGATAGCTGAGCTCCTGGCTGGGTTTGGAGCCAGCTTGCCATGGCCAGGAGATTTGGGGAACTGCTGCTGGCATAGCCACCATCTTCTGTCTTGGGTATGAATTGAAAGAGGGAAGTTTAGGTTAGATGTGAGGCAAAAGTTTTCCCTGTGAGGGTTGTGAGACACTGGCCCAGGTTGCCCGGGGAGGCTGTGGCTGCCCCAACCCTGGCAGTGTTCACAGCCAGGTTGGCTGAGCCTTGAGCAACCTGCTCTGGTGGGAGGTGTCCCTGCCCAGGGCAGGGGTTGGGGCTGGGTGATCTCTGAGCTCCATCCCAACCCCTAAAATTCCATGGCTCTCTGACTGGCTGAACCGTGAGGAGGAGGTGCAGGAGCAGTGTCATTGCATCCCTGCACTCTGCATGAGAGTTCCCGGGACAGCTGTGCTTCCCTGCACTCCCGTGGCCTTGGGGTTTGGAGGCACCTCATTACGGAAATGGGAACGAGCCAAGTTCCTGGCCCGTTTTGGGGTGGCACAGTGTGCTGGTTTGAAAAGCAAACCGGTGGGAGACCCTGAGTCAGAAGTACAATTTATTATGAATAATACAACAGAACAATACAAATGCAACAGTACAAAAAAAGTAGCCTGACAGTCAGAAAATCCCCTGACTGAGTCAGAAAGTAACCTGTCAGTCAGGGTGTAGTAGTAGTCCGATTAAACGGTGGCTGCAGTCCTCCTGGAGCGATGGGTTTGTTGGAGCAGTGATCCCGCAGATCCGGTCCTCTCCTGAAGGTCCAGCAGCAGCTCTTGTCCTCTGGGGATCCAGCAGGCAAAGGGCTCCCTGTGCTGGTCCAAACCCCAGCTTATATCCCTGTGAGCATGTTTGGCTCCCCACCCCTGGGGTGAGTCACCTCACCATGGCACAAGGCGATAAGGATCACTGGGAGGATGTGTCATGCATGGGTCCTTGACAGCCCGTTAATCAGAGACAGCCCCTGAGGGAGGGACAAGGTGATAACGATCACTGCCCCACCTGTTTTAACAGCTTGTGGAGGTGGTAATAGAATACATACCATTGGATACCCCCCACACTGCAACCCAGGGCACACAGACAGCCCAGGAGTGTGACCCTACAGGCACAGGAACTGCTGCTCCTCGGCGCTGTCACTGCGCTGGGTCTGGGTGTGCTGCTCAGGGCTTAGTCACAGGGGTGGTGGTTTGTTTTGACAGACCTCCCTGGCCTCAGCTCCACAGCTGCAGTGCTGCTCCAGTCAGGATTCGCCTGCGGAGGACTCTGCTCCTCTGGGCTGGGTTGGAGATCTCCGTGCTGAAGGGCAGAGTTGCTCATGTGGAGTCGCTGCACCTGATGTTGCAGGGAGTGATTCCAGAGGATTCGCTTCCCTCCAGGAGGCAGGTAGCTCCAGGAGCTGAGGGCAGTGGGTGTAGTTGCTGGGGTGGGAAGGTTTGCTGGGCTGAGCCTGCTCTGCTCCAGACAGTTTCATACAAGCAGGGAGAGTCGAGTTGGTGCCTCTGCATTGCCCCGTGGTGATTGTGCTCTCACACCAGCCGTGCCAGGGCTCTCGTGGGCAGAGAACTCCTTTGTCCAGGGAGGCAGCTGGC